TTACGAACCTAGCTCGAACCCGGTCCCCGGCTCGACCTGAACACAAGTGTGGACGTGCACAAGAGGGTAAACACTCCGACGCTGAAGTCAGTATAGGTTGGTTTCCGTATTTAGCTCGAGGTGAGATTCGATACCTGAGCATGTAATGGGGCCCTCTATTTATAGTTGGGGGATCCGTTAGTACACACGACCGGCGGTTACATGTTTTTTCTCATGTCGTACCGGTCGGGTTCCGAGTATATCGAACCCCAATCAGATCGGACTTCGGCATGTATACTTAGCTTGTTCCCTAATGGGTGAACCCGACCTCTTCGGCAGGTTCGAGGTGGACCTGAGATATTTAATCCTTATAACACCAGTAAGCGTCCTCCACATGTCCAAGGTATTTTTACCCCCAAACAAAGTAAATTAAAAAAAAAGGTATAAAAACAAGTACTAAGTATTTTTCATATTAAAAACCAACGTAATTAATATTCTCATTAATTAGATGTCAACATTTTGTTGGTTGATCCCCAAAAATCTATAGAAAGTACTGAAAATACTTTGGATAAGCCGTGTTAGTTTTGTCATTATATTATGTTGTTCCCCTTTTAATACATTCCATCATTTCTTGACACGTGTAATGCTTTAAGATGATTTTGAAAAGGTTCCATAATGTTCTTGACACGTGTGTAATGTTCTGCCCTATTTTCTCATCATCTTCCGTACGGCCTCGTGGCTTTTGTACTCTACTTCACCTGGAACGTGTTATTTTCCAACCAAACCAAGTGTCTTCTCTATCTCCTCCACTTTGGCTTTTTTAAGATTAAATAAATGAAATTAGTAAAACGGAAAATACCAGTTAATTGTCACTTGACCATGTCTTTGTGGATTTTTTTAAAATAATTATTTTTTAAAAACAAATGACAAAAGTAGGGTAGGATCAAAACATATTCCAAAAATAGGGTAGGTAAATCGCAGCCAACGACCGCGATTTCTTGAAATCGCGGCCGTTGTGCGCGATTTAGAACGGGCTGCGACTTCGGTTTGACGCTGGCTGCGACTTGCTAGGGTTTTGGTGGGGACAAAATTGTCCCCACTCCTGACCCCCTCCCTCATTCTTACTTTTTCTTTCTTTCTTCCATGGTCCCTCCT